GCATTGCTCATGTGCTCATACTTCTGAGCAATGAGGCAAAAGATGTGCTGTTCCAGTTCATCGTGCACACATTTGTGCATGTATGCGCACATGCAAGTGGGCATGCGTGCATTCCAATTAGTGTGCACATTTGGTGCCCAATGGCCTATTTAACCTGGTTTGTCATTATGAGCAGTTGCTGAATGGTCTTCAGCTTGTTCTTGTGTTCCTGTGACGTGATCTGCTGTAACTGCTTACCTGTGTATGACCGGGCTTGCCCTTGGACTTCACTTCTGTTCCTGCATAAACTCTGTTCACCTGATTACTCTGACCTTGGCCTGTTTACTGGACTTGCCTTTGCCTGCTGTTTCTGTACCGCTTTGGTTTTAGGTGATATTGGTTACCTGTTGTGTGCATACCAGCTTTTATATATTTAATTTAACTTTTTTAGGTGCTCGCATTCTTTGTTTATATGCTCCTGAGTCCCATTCTGAGGTCTGCGACTACCAGCTCTACCCACCTATAGAGTGGACACTAACAGCCAGCTACTCTGGCACTTGTGCCATTCTTTGTCCTCACACTCTCTGTCTCCACCTTCAGCAGTGTTGGGCAGGAGGTGCAAGAGAGGCCTCCATTACATTCCAGTCTTCACCAGGTACTAAGGTTGACACCTCATCCCTTTAAAACCAAACGCATATTAATGACAAAGGTTCTGAAGCTAATTTATTGCAGATAAATCACAAAGTGAGTTTAATTACCACCTTAATCAGCCACAGAACTTTGGAATTATTATGTGTTCGGTTTTAAAGGGATGAGGTGGCAACCCAACCAGGTACGTGATATTACTCCTCCTGCAGGATATGCATGGATGGGACTATTTACTAATGTAAAAAACTGTAAACTGAAATACATGGAAGGATTGCTTATGTAGCAAAAGCATTAAACACCTATGTGTAGTAGACCCTCTGTAAGCAAAAACACCTACGTATAGTGTACTGTATATACCATTGCATTGTATGAGCGTGTTCAATTTCAACACCTAATGGAAGCTCCTATGCTCTCTGTGCTGGTCTTCATTTTTCAAAATAAGAGTGACCCAGTGGGCTTTTTCCTTCTTTCTCTAATTGTTGGTTCTTCCCTGTTATGAATCGCAGTGGATAACCTGTGCTTGTGCATATGTATAGTCTATGAATGCATAATACATTTATAATGCAACTTAAAAAAATATTTTTTCTTTCCAGTAGAGGGTGCTGAAGTTATTAATCTAACTGCAAACGGGTTTCTACATTTTGAAGGTGGCCTGAAATGGCTCAGTGGCTGTACATTTTGTACTCAAAGCAAGTCCATTGATGTACCCATAGATAATAATTTTTCTCTGCTTTTGTTTACTCAGTGGCCACACATGCATACCTCCCAACTTTATGAAATGATAAAGAGGGATACCTTTTAGCACACAGTATGTAGGCAAAGGACACGAACCACAAAGATCTGATGTGCAGAAAATGATAGGCTAAACCACAGATGTCCTTTTTTGACCTTTTCCCTTTATATTGGCATTACAAAATAACAAATGCAACAATATAGAAACTAGATAAAAAGTTTACTTCAGCATAACACTTTTGGTAGTAAAATAGACATTTTGTGAGATGTACTGTACATATCAGAGCAAAAAGAGGGACAAGTGAGGCTGCACAGGGGACAGAGGGATTTGCTCCCAAAAAAGGGACAATCCCTCCAAATAAGGGACATTTGGAAGCTATATGCCGCGTAGGCTCATTTGAACCTTCATATTTTCAAAGTGTTCTACTGCATGAAAAATCATATTTAAAGGAGGAGCTCAAGTCGTTTCTGTGTCTATTAAAAGTCAGCAGCTACAAAAACTGTAGCTGCTGACTTTTAATATACACACACTTACCTGTCCCAGGATCCAGCGATGTGCTCACATGAGCTGTCCCTTCTCTCCCTCTTCTTTCCCTGGTGCCAGCATCTCAGTTGTGGGCACCCAGCTGTGACAGCTTGTGGCTTCACAGCAAGGTGCCCACTGTACATGTGCAATTTTGCACTGCTCCTCCTGAATGGTCCGGCAATCTTCTGGGACCTGTGAACTGTTCCAGAAGACTGTGGGGGGAAGTAGTGGCCCGAACTGTCATAACTAGATACCTGCTCCCCCCCAAAAAATTGCATCCCAAATGAAGCAGGGGAGGAGTACTTAAAGCATAACTTCCCCTTTTGGGTGTAACCCCGCTTTAATTTAACGCCATTGTTCAATAATTGTACAGGCTGCACTTCATCATTTGTGCTAAAAAGTGCAGTGGAGTTCTTCAGCGCGCTCTAAATTTGCTGCCAGCAGCAGGTTGGGTTTGTTGTACAATAGACAACTGTAGTTTGAAAACAGCTAGTCTTTGGTGCTTCTGTAAAGATCGGAATAAAGGATACCATACATATGAGTTGATTCTATAGTTATGCTGTTGATATAACAATATTCGACTTATTGAATAAGCAAGTGGCAAAGTGCTATGACATATTGCTGCTTTCCATAGCCATCAATAGGAATTTATTTTGTACAAATTTGGAAATGTAGAAAATAAATACCATTTAAATATTACTAGTTGTATGAAGCTGTGCAAAAAGGTTGCAGAATAAACAGCAGAATTATACCAATATCTATCAGTATGTGTTTGAGTGGGGCCAACTCGCCCTACATATAGGGGGAGACTCTTTCGTGAATATGCCCATTGATGCCCAGGACCTGGTAGGTCTTTCCCTCCAGTCCCACGTGGGTGCTTCTGACATTGGCCCGCTTACTGACCCCTCTATTTATTGGTCCACAACAGAGGGCAGGATCCACAAATACCCAGGAAAGGTCTAAGACACCGTTAACTCCTTCCAATCCTGAGCGAACTGAACTTTCTGCATAACTACACAATGCAATTAATATACCACATTAACACATTCCAGGGTATCCCATAAGTACCTGCACTACAAAGGTGAAGAAAAGATGTACTATGATGGCTCAGGTTTATGGGAAGGAGTCCTAAATGGTTCTTTGCTGGAAATGAACATCCACTCAGCAGTCCTTGCTGGGTGAAGTTTTCTTAGCACACAACACATGGTCTGCCAAAAAACAGCAAATTAAAAAAAAATGTGACATTTCGCAAATTGTCTAACGGTTATCAACAATGTCATGTGTTTTTACCCAATACTCTGAAAACTTGCAATGTGTTTATTTCATATATGGATACCTTTCATATATTCCAGCAGAAAATACCATCCATATCGTGAAACCTTTGCAAAATCCCCATAGTCATTAATTTGTTGGGTAACTGGTGGTTATTGCTGAGAACATTTAAAATGTTATTTCTGCTTAAACAATACCCTGAAAATGTACCCTCTGTCTTGAATTCCTCCTGAAAGATAGCAGTGCATTTTCAGGCACTTCTGTATCTACAGCCTCAGATGAATATCTGCAGTGTGAGATCTAAGGCACTGCCACCTCTGACTGCTAGTCTCAGGAGACTTGAAGTGAGATTTGGTGATGTTCCCTGCAGGTTTGGCATTTCTGTGCTTTCTGTTGCATTCACTACTGTGCTTCAATAAAAGTGAACATGCATCAATATAAAGTCTCTCAAAATTAATTTCTTCAACTTGAATAAGTGATTTTTCCAACTTGAATAAAAAGAAAACTTCTGTCTTCATACAAAATAAATCCTCCACCAAACAACCACCAGATGTGCCCTCACCTGGAGCATTTGACATTACATCATGTCAGGTCAAAAAACGCATGTGTCCCAAGAAGTGGACATGTATTGGTATATATGTATCCAGAGTGCAGGTTCTTCCTCCAGAGATCACCACTCTCTAAATTTCTCCTCCTCCACTCCACATATATGATAAGAAAGATAGAGAACACAATAGTGCTTTATCCTTAAAAATATTATATTTTGTTAAAACTTAAACAGTGGCCACTCACATTCTTTAGGGTCTTAATCAGATATAATGCGCATATAAAAACAACATTGTAAAATCATATCCCCCAGAGGGGGCTACGTGGCCCTGTGGTGTAACGCGTAGGGGAGGGGCTAGATGACATCATGACGCTTGCAATCCACACAGATTCATTATCACAGCAGATGAGTGGAAGAATTTTTGTTTATGACTGTGGCTACAGCGTTGTTTTTATATGGGCATTATATCTGGTGTGATTACTTTTATACTATGCACAGAACTTGGCACTGAGAGTACATTTGTTTGTGAGTGTCCAATTTTAGATTTTATTAAATTGGTATTAAAATGTATGGAGAGCACTATTGGTTTTACTCCTTTTGCATGAGTACATGTCACACAGAGAGGAGGAGATCGAACAGCAGCTCCAGTCGATGTGTCGATGTCTGTGATTGTTACTGGGAGCCAGTTGGAGTATAGCTCTCCAGGGGCAAAAGTGCGTCTGACCTTGATTATTGGTTAAGGTCTAATCCAGGAGGTGAGCGCATATGGTTCACAGGGTGTAATTTATGTGACACGTGGGTGAATCGTTGAAGTGAAGACTGTGATATCTGTAATTCACTGGTGGTTGGTCACATATACCGTACCTATTTTCTGACTTTTTTTTGTTTTGTCATTTGGGACTCATTTATTTAAGAGACACTGTTTTAGTTGCACTGCATCATTATTTGTATCATATTTTGAAGGGGTGGAGTGAAAACGCCTAACGGTGCTGAGCAGCAATTAAGAATTCACACATCGATTTGTTTGTGATTTATGTACATTAGGTTTATATGTCACAGACAGTTTATGGTATTTTGCATTAATATTGAATGCACGGATTGTTTTACATGTTTCAAATAGGTATCTACCTAAAATGTGTAAGGCCATAAGGCCATGTGATGCATTATCCTTTCATTTTAAATTGCATAGCTGAATTTTCTTTTTAAAGACCAGGCCACATGGCCTGGGAATGTGTTGGGGGAATCAGGGGTCTTTTTATAACATGTAGCTGAACATGATGCATCTCTCTTAACCAGCTCTGTAACATCCTCTCTCATAGATCCAATGATGATGACCCACGGAAACATTCATTCTTTAGTTCAATAAACTTCAACAGACTGGAAGCTGGGATGGTGGACCCTCCGTTTGTCCCAGACCCATCTGTGGTCTATGCTAAGGACATTGCAGACATAGCTGATTTCTCGGAGGTCAAAGGGATTGATTTTGATGACAAAGATGCCAAATTTTTCAAGAGGTTTTCAACTGGTGCAGTGCCAATCAGCTGGCAACAAGAAATCATTGATACTGGACTCTTTGATGAGCTCAGTGACCCAAACAGGCAAAGCTCTGGAAAATACTCGTATAGTGATGGTGAGAAAAAATCAGGAGTATGTTCCATAATATAGTAAGTGTTCTTTGTAAATTAGTGGCAGAATGGGATGTATTTTATAAGCAGTTTTATTCATATACTGTAGCTGAAGATTTTTTTACTTCTAGTTAAATTCTCTCAATGCAAGTCATTTGTTCGCTAGACCCCTCTGGAAAATAAGTAAACAAAGTACTATCTGAAACTATATCAAAACCCATCTTAAAGGATTGGGGGGTCATATCAAGTATATCAGTTGCTGCCCTTCAACTGCCTCTGTTATTTGATGGTGTTATGCACACTTGGAAGCTAAGAATCACTGTAAGGGCTGGCATTTGAGAGGGCAGCAACTGTCAGACATCAGACAAACTCTCGCTTCCGAACGTAAGCTTAAGAGTCAGACAAAGCTAATAAAGTTAAATATTAAAATATACTCGGATCACAGGTAATTGTACACAGTTATATGTCCAGTATCTTACACGTTTTGACAGTTTTCACTGTATGATTGATCCTAAGCTTAGTTTTGCCTGAAGTTGCACTAAACATACTGCCTTCCTGACTTCAGCAATGACTGCTGTCCTTGCCAGTGCATGTGACCCAGTAAGTATAGACAATAAATACATAAGAGTTCAGCACTTAAAAAAGTGACAAATAATCATAAGAAAACGGTGAAAAGTGTGTCAAAAAATAGTCCGTCCAAAAATGAAAGAAAGTCCCAGAGGCTGTGATGAAACAAAAGAAATCCAAGGACAGTTGTTGTGTCACCAACCACTACTACAGAAGGCTTACCAGAAAGGCATGACCCCATGTTAAGAGTGATCAATCGCGCTTTGTTAAACAATTCAGAAAACTGGACACTCGAATCCTCCTCCAGATCACCAAAACAGCAGATAAGGATCTTTCAAACAATGGACCTTAATTAGGGAAGCTAAACCACTCAGGATAATGCTTGGACTCATAGTGGAAAACATGCGAAGAAAGAGCGCTCCACATAGTGTAAAACCATAATCACAACATTTATCTAAAGTATGGTTGCACTCACATGTAAGCAAACATCATTAGGCATTGATTGGCAAAAATAATCCAAATTTTCCAGTTTCCAAAATGGCCACTGGCCGTGCACACATATGCAGTAGCGTGTGTGCGTGGCTCCGCACTACACGTTTAGTCACAGGTAACGTTATCTGCTCTTTTGGAGATCTGGAGGAGGATTCGAGTTTCCAGCTTTCTGGATTGTTTAACAAAGCGCGACTGACCTCTTTTAAGGGGGTCATGCCTTTTTGGTAAGCCTTCTGTAGCAGTGGTTGATGACACAACAACCGTCATTGGATTTCTTTTGTTTCATCACAACCTCTGGGACTTTTCTTTCATTTTTGGATGGACTATTTTTTTACACAATTTTCACTGTTTTCTTATGATTATTTGTCACTTTTTTAGGCGCTGCACTCTTATGTATTTATTGCTGATTGCCCAGTATCAGGGTTTTTGTGTTCAGCTGCTATATGTTTCACAATTCATTTTTGATTATTGATTATCTTTTGTGGTTCTTATTAGCGCAGGTTTATATATATATATATATATATATATATATATATATATATATATAAGTATAGACAATAGGGACACACTACAAGGATGCATCCTGTGCTGCTTCCAGGCTGCCCATATAGTCAGAATGTACGTGAGAGGCCATAAGGTTAGGTGAGAACATAGTTGACAAGGAAGCTCATAGGTGGGTAGTGTGTCACATCAGAATGTTAGAGATACAAACTTTACAAGTAATAAAATGAGTAGACACTTCATAACGAGGAAAGGCCATCAGATGGGCATGGAATAAATACTAGCAGTCCTGCCCGCCAAAGGGTAGTACACATTTCAGGGAACAAGGGGAAATCAGATAAGAAAAGAATGGAGAGGGATGGGGAGGAGAGAAGAGGTAAGGGGTAAGGCCAGAACCTAGTATATTTCTTATAACGTATACCAAATAGTCACTTTTCTGGTTTAAGTGTCTGATAAACAGTTTTGCAATTCCATAGCCATCTTCAGGATTAATGCACTGGTACTAAGCTGAATTGCTGTGCTGGAAATTTTTAGATGATTCTGCTTTGTTGTCTAGTGTCAATGATGTGTGGTTTCAGGGAAGGGGGTCCTTCATGTGTAAAGGGCTGAAAACACAAATCTGGAATAACCCTGCCTATTGTCCAGTACCTTAGGGTATGGGTAACTGGGTGGTGAAACCATACAAAATCTGGTCAATACTGGAAGAAAATCACTAAAACTGCTTACAAAATATGGTGTCTTGTGCTGTAAGTAGCTCATTACCAAAATTACCCAAAACAACAGACGTATTGAACATGTATTTTTGGCAAAGTTTTACAAAGCCTTTTTGTGTTTCAGTGTCTTGCGTCATTATGGCTTGTTACACCTCAATGCCTGGACTTACTTATCCTTATGTCAAAAGTGTTTGTTTTTTTTTATTAAAATGAAAGAATAACAACAAGGGCTTGTTATGGTGTCTTGGTTTGAATTTATTGTTCAAGAGAATATGAACCTAAGTAATGAATTGACGTAGGTGTCTTGGCCAAGGCAGTACGAATTACTCCATTTTACAGAAGTTGGGATGTTGTCAAAGATAATACCTGGAAAACGAACACCTTAGATTGAGATATTTACTCTCTACACTATGCCACTATGAAACTGTCTTTGGCCAATGGCAAGACATGTAGTGCTGGTTTTACGTATCTTCATCAGCCTTTCGCAATCTTTTTGCCATAGAGAAATTCCTAAAATAGCGATTAGTTTTTTGGTTTCAGGCAACCCTTGATAAAATGATTTTATCTGCGGCTCACAGTACATGGTCAAGTAGGCTGTAGCAAGTTTTAAATGCAATAATAAAGAAAATGGGTGTATATAACTCCCCCCCTTCATTCTCTAATTAATGTCAGTAATAATCATGAAATGAAATAATAATAATGGCCATAATGGTAGTCAGTTTAAAAGTGACCCCTTAAATTGGTGGCATTAGTATACTTCAATTTCAACAGGAGACCAGCTTTCCACTGCTCTCTCTTCAAAGAAACCCTGGCATCCTCTAAAGCAGGGATCTCCAAACTTTCTAAACACAGGGCCAGTTAGCTGCCCTTTAGTATTTAGGGGGAGTGGGAGTAAAAAATGTCCCATCACTGGTTTTAGTGGGAGGAATAGTGCCCCATCATTGGTGCCAGTGGGAGGAATAGTGCCCCGCTGATGGTGTCAGTGGGAGGAATGGTGCTCAATAATTGGTGTCAGTTGGAGGAATAGTGCCCCAAGGGCCAGAAAAGGCAATCAAAGGGCAGAATTTGGCCCAAGGGCCACAGTTTGAAGACCACTGCTTTACAGGAACCCCAGCGTTCCACTGAACCCTGTTTGAGAAAGGCTGCTGTAGGTGATACACAGAGATTCCAGAATTCATATGCAGCATCAGACACCTTGGCATCATCATGTATACAGAAAGACAAAAAGGAGCAAAACCGCAGTATCAAGATCCACAACAATCCCATTACCATTATTGCAATACACATCAAACAAATATGACCACAGAAGACATTTTTAATAAAATATTAATATATATTTTTAATATATATTTTTTATACTTAAAACATGAATGAATTGCTATGGCAAATAGGAAACCCAGGCCTGTGCACACATTTCTCTTACATAATTTTGAAAGTAGAAAGTGACAAAGATTTAAGCACCTTTTAGATCAATGCATTATGGTAATTTATGTTCTATTATGCGGAACTGCAATATGCATTAATACATGGTAGATGTGTTGATGTATTGCTGTGCCATTCATTTAGTTATTACACTTGCAAGAAATGCATCCATGCTGCAATGCTCCACAATGCACATGCAATGTATTAAAAAAATGTCAACGTTAAAAAAATGTCTGCATTAAAAAAATTTAACGTTTTTGAACATTTAAAATTAGTATGTTACCTTAATGCCATAGCACTGTAACAGGTCTGAAGAGGCTGCTAAAGATTTTACAGATTATTAACTGCAAGAAAAAAAAATGTTGTATATATGAATGAGTATCCCTTACCTAGTATCTAGATATAAAATGAAGAACAAGAAGATTAAAAGACTGTATAAAAATGCATATTTTAATATCATAAAAGTAAAAAAACGTATAAGCTTATCAACACTTTTCTTCTATAAGCATAACGCAAACCTTAGGAGGTCAGGATTGTGGGGTTCAGAAAAGATAGAGGGGGTATAAAAGGGGTAAAATAGGAAAAGAAGTGTTTAAAAAGTGCTTTTGGATTTTCAAAATGAAGACCATAAAACCAACGGGATAAAAGTGACACTAAACAATATCCCTATTCTCCAAATTCCATATACATTCAATATTTAATAGCCTTGTAATCTATTTTTCATGAAGTCGTTTCTTACTGTGTTTTTCTGTCTCCCTGTAATGTCCCCCAAGAGTTCATGAACCTATCCTTTTCCCCCTCACTTCTATTCATTTGGGTCGAGCAATGCACGTTATTTCCGGTCTTATGCACTGCCATATGCACCCTACATATTCCATCAGGGGCGTATCATCCACGTGTGTTGTGCACACAGGCCCTAGGGGATATGGGGCCCATTGTGCCCTCACACATTGCAGACCAAATGTGGGGAACAAACATCTCCACTGGTTCTGCACTTGTCCTAGGCAGCTGTAGGAGAAAGACTGTTTATGTGAGTGTAGCTCTACCCCCTGTAGGAGGAGCAGCTAGAAAGATGCCTAGGGTACCTTTCCCAGTAGTTGCCCTACAGGCAGACACACGGTCACAGTCACTATTTGGCTCAGTGAACAGTCCAGGGGTATTCTTTTTGGTGTTTTTATTTTGGGTCACTTGGATGGGGATAGGGAATTGAGTGGGATGCTCCAAAACTATGTACAAATAGCAGGACACTTTATCTTCTGTAGAACTAGGATCCAAGTCCTTGCACAAGTAAAGAAATGGACTAAATGTTGTAGAAGCCACTTGAGGAGATTCATCTTCCTCTCTG